ACTCAAGATGAAGCATAGACTTAAATGTTAAAGGCAAAACAATAGTGTTTCTAAAAGAAAAGCTAAGAGAATATTCATTATATTAATCAGAAGTTTCTTAAACACAAAGCACAGTCATAAAAGAAAAAACTGATTAAAATGGACTTCATAATATTAAGGACTTTTGCCCTCAAAAAATAAAATTAATTGAGAGAGAGAGAAAAGGCAAACCACAGACTGAGAGACGATATTCATGAAATATGTATATGTATCCAGACTATGTATCCAGAATATATAAAGAACTTCTACTGTCAATAAGAGTACAGAAGCCTCAAATTTAAAACAGTCAAAATATTTGCTCAGATCCTTCACTAAAGATGATATCCAAATGGTGAATGATCATATGAAAGATGGTCAACATCATTAATTGTTAAGAAAATGCAAATTGAAAATACAATGAAATAGCACTAGACCCAGAATAGCTAAAATTAAAGGGCTGAAATTACTGAATGTTGGTAAGAATGCAGAGCACCTCAAGCATACATAGTACTGGTGCCAATATAATTTAGGTCAACCACTTTGGCTTAACTGACTGAGCCACCCAGGTACTCTAGGTCAACCACTTTGGAAAAATATTTGGCAGTGCCTAGTAAAACTAAATACACATATACTCATGACTCTGCAATTCCAATCCTAGGTGTATTTTCAAGAGCAATGAATCCATATGTGTACCAAAAGGCATGTATGAGAATATTCATAACAACTTTCTTCATAACAGCTCCAAACCAGAAAAAATAGCCCAGATGTTCATCTATAGTAGGATGGATTTAAAAATTGTTATATTCAGTACAATGGAATTATACACAGCAATAAAAAAGAATGTACTACTTCTACCCAAAGGAATGCATAAATATCACAGACAGAATGATAAGCAAAAGAACACAGATACAAAGAGGACATTCTTGGAGCACCTGGTTGACTCAGTCGGTAGAGCATGTGACTCTTGATCTCACAGTTACAAGTTCAAGCCCCACATTGGGCATGGAGTCTACTTAAAAACAAACAAACAAAACAAAACAAAACAAAAAGAGTACATTCTATATGCTTCCATTTAAATGAAGTTGAAGATCCAACAAATTAATCTAGCACCTTCTAAGTGCTCAAAATGTTTTATATCTTGTTTTCTGTAGTACCTACACAGATGTAAACATACATAAAGTTTTACTGAGTTCTACACTGAAGATTTGTGCACTTCACTGTATGTAAAATTATATCTCAATATAAAATGAAATTGAGACATACAAAAATGTTGATAGAAGCATTTTTCATAGTAGCTCCAAATTGGAAACAACCCAAAAGTCCATCAACAGTCCATCAACAGAATCAATAAATAAATTATGGTATATGTATCCTGTAGAGTACTACATTAAAATGAAAAAAAACCTGATAGACATAAAAACACGAATGAATGTCAAAGACATAATATTAAGCAAAAGAAGCCAGACTAATATATGATTTGTCAATTCTATTCCCAAAGAATTGAAAGCAGTAAATCAAATACTTGGAAATCAATGTTCACAGCAGCACGATTCATGACAGCCAAAAAATGGAAACAATCGAAGGATGGATGAATGGATGAACAAGATGTGATTTATCTATACGACGGAATATTATTCGGCCATAAAAAGAATGAAGTACTGACACCTGTTGTAACATGAATGAACCTCGAAGATATTATGCTCAGTAAAAGAATCCAGTCAGAAAAGGACAAATATTGTGTGATTTCACTTATATTAGGTTCCTAGAATAGGCAAATTCATAGAGATAGTAGAATAGAGGCTACCAGGGGCTGGGGAGAGGTAAATGGACAGTTATTATTTAATGGCTACAGAGTTTGTTTGGGGTAAAGAAATTCTGGAAATGAGTGGTGGTGATGGTTGCATAATGCTGTGAATGTACTTAATACCAAATGTTATGTTATGTATATTTTATCACAATTTGAAAAAGAAGAAATTGGATACAATAGAATACATACTATCTGCTGTATATGAAGTTCTAGAACAGACAAAATTAATGCATGGAAATAGAGGTCAGGAAAGTGGTTGCTTTTGGATGAAGTTTTGACTGGAAGAAGGCAAAAAGGAGCCTTCTGAAAGAATATCTACACCTTGCTCAGAGTGGTAGTTACATGGATGCATGCAGACATAAAAATTTGTCAAGCTGTCACTTTACAGCATGTACATTAGATTTCCATTTAAAAGGGGGGAAAAAGTAGAAGCTGGGGAAACTGTCATTTAAAAGTTGCTTGCATTTTTTTTTAAGCCCTCATCTATGGAGATTTATGCTCACCTGGAAACGGATTCTCTCCAGCGAAGTCAGCAAAACTGGCGCTTTTGTTCTCACTGGTGTAAAACGCAAAACCCAGCCTTGTCTCAGGGAGAGCTACAAAGCACCTTAAGCCTGACCACAGACATTCAGAGACCTGTCTTGGTTGCCCATGGTGGGTGTGATAAATCAGAGAGATGTTTATGCAGCTTCTTGGCTTTTGGGAGTGGAGAAGGACAGGGCAAGGGAAGGAGGGGCCGAGAGAAATGTCTCTTGGCTGTGTGCTTGTAGAACAAAGTTGTATGAAATATGGATATTTTTTCTCTCCCCTCCCATCTTACTCCTTGAGCCCCAGGACAATAGTAGCTCAGAGCACTGGAACATAGCACCTTGGTCTGAACACTTGTAATCTCACCCAAAGCAAAGCTCCTTGGGTGGTGGCCGAGAGGGAGATATGAAAAATATGGCAGAGGGTACTGGCTGTAGACCAGTTTGTGAGCACGTGAGGAAATATCCTTTCTGTGTGTTCTGGAATATCTGGCATAAATTTTGCACCGGGAGTCAGCCTAAAGTCCAGCAGTGAGTCTGGTAAGGCTCAAACCACTGTGAGTTGGGCATGAAAAGTTTAGATCACCTCAGTTTATACTCACAGTCTGGCTGAACCTGGGTAGAACAACTCCATGTGTATATATCTGTGTCTGTGTATATGTGCATGTTTAAGTGTACATATAACCTTAACAAAATCAACATCCTACTGTATATCATTTTGAATCCATTTTTATCTTTACAGAGCACTTTACTCGGGACATTTCTTTGTCATTAGAGATTCTTTTGAGACTGTGTTCCTGAGGTCAGGGAGACTTGCCCAGTGGCTGGGGCCTTGCCACCTATCTTCCGGCTGGAAAGGAAAACACCTGTCTTCCTGCCTTCCACTTCTGTGCCTCCCCCCACCCCCACCCCCAGCTCATGAGCTGTGTTACTTGTTCCCAGCAGCCTCTGAGGTTGTGACGTTATGGGGTCTCACTTCATGCCTTCCATAGGGATAAAAAAAGGGATCTGTTTTTAGAAGTCGTGGCAGGCAAAGTCCAGAAGTCGAAGAGTGGGCAGGGCAGGTCATCCAAAACCCAGGGAACCCTTCTTACCCCCACCCCACTCCAACCCTGCCACAGTTTGCTGAGTCAAGAAACTGGGGAGTCAAGAAGCTGAGCTTTCTATAGCAAGCTCATAGAAAGGATGGAACCTATACCCAAGTCTTCTGATTCCCCAAGGTCAATGCTTTCCCACCCACCTCCTAACCCGCCTCACAAGAAAGTCGGGAGGGGTAAGTGAATTTACCAACAAATCGCACACCAAAGCCACAAAAACACTTTTATTTAGTTGCTACCACAAATACAGAATCAAATTAAGGCAGTATAATACATTTCCTCTTATCCTTACAAGCTTTTGTACAGTAATCTTTGCTTTCTGTGTCCATTTGAATCAAAAGTTGAAATTTTTATTAAACAACTTTTTCTTGAATTCTAGAGAAAAGTCATTCCTTGGGCTGTCAGGTGTGCTGATACAAGACACAACCTAACGTTGTGGATCACAGAACCTTAGCCAAAGGCAGTGGGATTGGCTGGTGAGGCATTTTTTCCTCTGGCCTCCCTCCCCATCTGGGAGGCTGAGGGAAAAGGCAGGAGACAAACATGCTCTGGTGACTAGCTATTACCTTGAGTTCCCTTCTGGATGAAAATGAAAAATGTAAAAACTGATTATGCAAACATTCAGGCAGTCTAAAAGAATCTCTGAGGTAAAGAGTAGTTGTGAATTATAATATTAAATACATGCCTGTAATTGGTCCTAACAACCATAAATTTGGGTTTCGGGAGAAGAAACAAATGGATTTGTTTCTCTGGAACTAAATGAAAGAAAATTCTGGCAACTGTTTAAAAAGGTTAAGTGACTGCAAACAAGGTGACTAAAACTCAGCACTAATGTTTGAATTTTCATAAAACAGAAACAATTCAGTTTGGCCATATCTTTCCTTTTGCTATTTGAACTCATAGGCATAAAAATTTATTTTATTAAGAGCTTATCAAATTGTGTTCTTCAGATATGGGTCATAGCTTGTTGCTGAAATTCAGAAAAGAAACTGTTTCAAGTACTTGCACTTTATCGAAACTGCCTATCTGACTGCCATTAAAAGTACAATATAGAGTTACACATTTAGAAACATAAAGCTTTGCAGTCACATTTACTTACAGAAGCACTGCTCACCTACCCCTGGTGGGGAGGGATGAGAGAAGAAAGCAGGAGCTAAGAGAAGGAAATGAGGAGAGAGGAGAAAAGGGGGATACAGGAGTGAGAAAAAAATCAACTCTAAAATTTTAAGGATCACTGTTGGCTCACGGTCAACTATAGGATGAAAGGGAGGCTCAGAAGAACAGATGTCAAACTTGGGGAAAATGTTGTCTCTAAAATAGCAAGCGCACACATGCACACACACACACACACACACACACACACACACACTTTTTCAAAGTATGCTATATGAAGAAGGAGTACGCCTACAAGGTGGATATAGCTTACACCATGTCTGTGAGTCCATGTCTGTGTGTGTCTGTGTGTAGGTGCAGTAAGTTATCTCATTTTGAATTACATATTCTAGACAAACTTGAAGTGGACCACTTCCCGGCCACCCCTAAGAGCATTATTCACAGAGCCATTTCATCAGAATCAACTTCCACATCAATAATCACGATCTTATGGTAATCATGGGTAGTGGGGTCGGGAAGCTGGCAGGCAGCAGCAAACTCCAGTGGGCTGGCAGCAGACTTGGGAGACCCACTGGCTGAGCTGCAGACAGGCTCAGAGATGTCAGTGACGTCACACTCAAAGTGGCTGGTAGCAGTGGTCTCAGGGTGACAGGATGCAGCGAGCTCAGGGTGGCTGGCAGCGGCAAGCTCAGTGTGGCCAGCAATTGCTGGCTCGAGGTGACTGGTGGCAGTAGGCTCAGGATTACCAGCAGCAGTGGGCTCAGGATGGGTGGTAGCAGGCTTGATGTAGCAAGTCGTGGCTTTAGGGTAGTTGGTGGCAGGGCTGAAGGCAGCCTTGGAGTGACTACTAGCAGGAATGTGGTGGCCAGTGACAGGCTTAGGGTGACTGGAGGCAGGCTTGAAATGGACAGAGTCAGCCTTGAAATGGACAGAGGCAGGCTTGAAGTGGACAGAGGCAGGTTTAGGATATACAGTGGCAGACTTGGGGTGACCAGACATAGACTTGGAGTGGCCAGAAGCAGGCTTGCAGTGGCTAAAGACAGACTTATGGTGGCCAGAGGCAGATTTGCAGTAGGCAGAGGCAGACCTGGAGTGGCCAGAGGTTGGTTTGGGGTGGCCAGAGGCACACTCAGGTTTGCCAGCTGCAGCATCACCAGGTAGTGGAACATTCCGGACATTCATTGGCACTTCCTCCACAGCAGGACAGGCACGGGCATGCTCTTCTTCATGGGCTTGTTCACGGGCTTGGTCACGGGCACGCGCACGGGCACGGGCCAGGGCCCGGGCTTCCCGAGTCTCACGAACATCAGTGATGAGGCCAGAGAGGAACAGGATAGGGTGCCGCATAGCATGGAAGATGGTCCAGTATTCTCTTCGGAAATTCTCATTGAGGAGCCCGTAGATCACCGCGTTGAGGCAGCTATTGAAGTAGGCTATGAAGTAGGCTGCAAGATAAAGCCAGTTGGGGATCTTGCCTGCCATCTCCTTCGGACTGACAGCCACCAAGACAGTGAGCACGTTGATAGGGCACCAGCACACCGCAAAGAGGAGGAAGATCACAAACATGGTTAGAAAATTGCGAACCTCAGCAAGCTGGTTGTCAGGATTCTGCCCAGCCGGCTCCCGGGCTGCCAGCACTTTGGTCCAGATCCTCACGTAGCAGAAACCCACTATGAGCAGGGGGAGAAGGAAGTGGATGCAGACGATGGTCACAGCAAAGACAGGGTTGTTGAGATAGTTGAAGATGCAGGTGTAGGTGCGAGGATCATACTCGATGGTGCCAATGTACATGTTGGGCAGGACTGCCAGGACGGCCATGACCCAGGTGATGACCAGGTAAATGCAGGTGTTGCGCACGCTGAAGATCCGCTCGTACTGGAGGCTGTGGCAGATGTAGCAGTAACGATTGATGGCAATTGCCATGATGTTGAAGATAGAACCGACCACACTCAGCCCTGTGATGAATCCAACCATCTGACACTGGATCTTGCTCAGATCCCAGCCCCCAATGGACATGGCATGCAGCATCAGAGGGTAGGGGTAGATGGCCACCAGCATGTCAGCCACAGAGAGGCTAACGACGAAGATGTTGCCTGAAAAACAAATCAGGGAAAGGAAGAGGGGGAAAAACAGAGAAAAAAATAAACGGTTAAGTATGGGAATGTAGAAATGTAAGGCACAGGAAAAGGCCAACTGAAGTGGTGACAATTTAGAATTCCACAATTGTTTTAAAGAAATAGTCTTGTGTTTTTGTTTTTATTTGCCAGCATGCCCCAGATTATTCTGATGCGCAGCCAGGTTTGAGAGACCTGTCATTTGAGCACCGTTTTCCTTTCAACAATACTATGTCTGCTTTGGGGGGGGAAGAACTTATGTCAGAAAGCAGTAAGCACAGACGCCCTTTGCGGAACCCTTCATATATACGGACATGCTGCCACCATCTTAGACAAAAACAAAATGCAAACTTTTTCCCTAAGGGGGGGGGGAGATAGGGAGGGCAGGGAGAGGGGCGTAGAGGTCAGCTGGAAGAAGCTATGGGTAGAAAGTAGGTTGCAGATGTGGGGGGAAGGGAAGAGATTGGAGGAGTGTCAGGAAGCCTCACCACCACCACCACCGCTCCCCGCCGGGAAAAAATGAATGAGCCCAGCGTTTTTCTAGCCTAGCGTTGCTTTTAAAACGCAAACGTGTCTAAGAGAACAGTCAGGGAAAGACCCTTAAAGGCCGTCGTCTTCTTAAGAAAACGAGATCAGACAATAATCTATCACCAAGCCCAGTAAGTACTTACCATTTCCGAGGTAGCCCTAAGACTGAAAACTGAGGGGAGGGAGGGAAACCCTGTAAAATTTAGTCTGAGACCAAAAACAGTGAGTAGAGAGAAAAACAATCAGGAAAATCCCGGCAAGGATTAGCAGAAGTGCCTGCTTCCTTCGGGTCCAGCGCAGAGCCCCGAACCCGCTTTTTGAACGCCCAGGGTAAAGGGTTTTCCGCTCCTGCCCTGAACTTTACTAGAGCCTGCTGCTAAACAAGAAAGTGAAGAGGGGGAGTTGGCCCCCAGTCCTGTTTTATAAGGCATCGGTAAGAACATTTTTGTAAAACCTGACCAAAAAAAAAAAAAAAACGAGGCCAAGTACAGGCGCAGAGCCCCCCCCTTTTTTTTTTAAACACCTCATTGCTAATTAGCATTGACTTACCAAAATATTGCAGGTTATCTTGGACTAGGATTAAATGAGCACTTTTTAAAAGGGCAAAGGAACAGTTCCTTCTGCGTTCCTGCCAGCGCTGAACGCCGGCCTCAGCACTTTCTACCCAGAGGTTCTTTTTAGCGTTTTCCCTCAAAGAAATGAATTGGGAAAAGAAAAGTGGAAAAGACAGAGGGAAAAGCCGTGAAAACAAAACCACAACAACCGTAAAAACTTTTATTTGAATCATAGAAGGAAAGAATAAGGAAAAAAGGAAAGGGCGGAAGAAGAAGGAAAATGGGCTTCGCAGGCGGTCCTTGGGGGCTCTCTGATCCTATTAGTGGAGCGAAGGTGAGGTCCGAAGGTGCAGCCCCACGTCTCCAGGGGACCAAAGTGAAATCAGACACACCCACCAGAGTGTAAAGGAAAACTTTTAATGTCTGTGTGCCCGTGAGTGCATTTTGAAACTTGGGTGGTACTTGTGATTCCTCATCCCCTCAAAGGAATCCTCCAAACACAGACTGCTTCCTCTCCCCCGCGCCCCGCCCGCCGGGTCCTAAGGGTACCCGACTCTCTCCCCCTGCCCCCTCTCCCCCTCAGCCCCCTGACGCCCGCAGGCCGAGATCCCAGCAACGGAGACCCAGAGCGCCGCCCTCTCCCTCCCCGGACCCGCGCGAGGTGTCCGGACCCCTTTCCCCTCCCCTCGCGTCCTCCGCCCCCTCCCGCCCAACCTGCAAAAGGGGCTCTCGGCTTTGCAGAGGCCGCCGCCCCCCCGCCCCCCACCCCCGCACAGGTTGCTGTGCCCTGAGGCCTCCCACGCCTCCCCCAGCCCAGCTCGCAGCCAGCCCCTCCCTTCGGCACCGGCGCGCCGCGAGGGGATTCCTGATCGCCGCCAAACCCCATCCCGGCTGCCTGCGCTTTGCAGTCTCTCTGCGTCTCTGGCCGCCCCTTCAGAGCTCCCCGAGCCCACCCCTACCCCAGTCATCCTCGCCCTTTCTCTCTTCTGTCCGCCACCCGCCCTGAGATGCCCAGCTGCGGGACCTCTCCGCCGCCCCTCCCTGAGACGCCCCAGCACCTCGCTTACGGACTTCGCGATCTCCGCTGCCGCTGCCGTCGCTGCCACAGCCAGCTGCGCCCAGACCTCCGCTCCGCTCTCTCCGCCCTGCGCCCTGCGCCGAGCGGACAGAGCTCGGCTCCGGCGGAACCAGACCACCCTGCTCCGTACTCAGGAACGAGGGTCTGCGCTCCGCTGCCCGGGAGCTGCGTGGGTGCCGCCCTGGAGCCCCAGAGCCGCAGCCGCTGGGGCTCGGCGGGTTCCGGGCGCCGCCGCTGCGCTCACGTAAGCGCCGCCACGGCCGCCGCGGCCGCCGCGAACTTAACTTTCCCGGAGCGGGTTGCAACATTGCGGCTCCCTCCGCAACTATTCGGCCCGCGCTGTCTTCGCGCCACCACCTCGGTGGCCTCTGGCTCGGCGTGCTGTCCCCAGGCGGTGGCCGAACTCTCCACTCGGGTGTCGGGTCCCTCTCTATCACGTCTCCGACGGGGAAGGGCTGAGCGGTCTGCCGCGCACCGCGGGACCCGGGCTTTGCACTTGAATGCCAAAAGCTTATTTTCCCGAGGTCCCTCAGCTTTGGGAAGCTCTAAATTTATGGGGCTCCGGCAGAATACCACCGCCCAGTTTCTCGGGGAATTTGACGGTAGGGACACTCAATGTGAGGGTACTGTCCAAGCGTTCCCTATTTCAGGCGCCCAAACGAATGACCGAGGGTTTGCAAGTGGCTGCGTGCTAGGTAGGAAGAAGGAAGGGTGACTTACCAGAATTTCGAAGCTTCTTGTTCTTTGTCACAGCTAAGATGACCATGGAGTTGCCGATCAAGTCAACGACGATGGTGATAACCATTGCGCAGAACATAAAGATGATTAGAGCCGGGGGGTAGTCTGGCTGCGGCAGCTTACAGCTAATGCAGCCGTATGGGGTGGGAACCGCTAGGGTAGGCCCCATGTTGCTGCCGGAGTCCGGAGTCCGTTAGGCTCTCCCAGCCGGTCAGGAGAGCGAACGCCGGCTCTGTCACCAGGAGCTTCTCGAAAAAGATGTTTCCCCTCCGAGGACCAGAGCACGAATGACAGCCACCCGCCCCTCTCCGATGAGCTTTTAAAGCCTCAAGAGGTGGCTAGCCCCACCCCAAATCCCTCCCCCCGACCAATCAGAGCTGCCCAACCCCCCCCCATTTGGTTTCCAACTCTTCTTGGACAAATCCACAACGAGGTGTCGTCTTGCTTCCGACTGCCTTGTTTGTGCTTCCCCTCTAGCCGCCCCCACCATCCCCTAGGTACCCTGCTTCGTGACAAGCTCGGAATCCACCTCCCCGTCCCCAGCCACTGCACTTCCGTTTCTAGCAAGTTCTTCTCCCTTCCCTTCCAACGCAAACACTTAGCAAAGCAATGTAAAATGCAGAGCAAGGGCATGGGGTCTCTCTCGGGGGTCTAGTTCCAACTCAAGCCAGTCTGTAGCCCCCAGCAGAGTATAAGAGAGTGCCAGTGTCCGTTGAACCCTAGATATGTGCTGCTACAATCTCCTTGAAAAGTTGCCCGTCAGAGCCTTTTGTACCTCGTGGGAAGCAGAAGACAGCTGCCCAGAACTTCCACTCACAGTCTGCGTGCCCAGTCTCTACGGAATTTATCTCTGGTACGGGCCGGTTGGCTCCCTTAATGGCAGCGAGCCATCGTTCAATGGATCACAGACACGCTCCGTCTCTGTAAGGAGATGTCCCCTGAGCCGAGGTATGGGAGCAGGGAGTGAGTCTGTGCTCAGGGTGCTAGGGGAGGTAGCTGGTGGCTATTTATCCCCAGCTTTGGGGCAAGCTAGAGGAGGGGCTGATCCCCTTCCCCGATGCTGGGCACTGTGACTGCGGGAGCTCAGAGGCTCCTTTGGGAAAAAGTAAAGCACGCGACAGTTTTGGCTTTTATCCTCTTTAGAGGTGCTCCACATGCGCTACCGGGTAGCGCGGGGCTCTCGGGCAGGCTCGGGGAACTGCGCTACGGCAGCGGGACGGTCGCGGGGGTGCCGGGCAGTGCAGCCAAGAAGACAGCGGGCAGACCAGCGCCTCCGCCCCAGGCGTAAAACTCCTCTCGGTCGTTCTCCCTTGCCACCCCCTGCCTGGGGTCCCTGGCCATGAGTTTCCACCTCGTTCGTTCCGACCGCCCCCGTCCCTGTAAATCTCCCTCCGAGGCATCGCGGTTCCCTGCGGTGCGCCCGGGCTTGTGAAGTGCGCGGGCCGTGGAAATCCAGACGGTTGGGACTAAAACTGAAGGGGCGCGACTCTACTCGCTCCCTCCACAACCTCGGTCACGGGAATAGATTTCTGCCCGCTACTCAAAGTTGTGGCTCTTGCTGAGAAGCTTTGCAGTAATTGTCAGTGAACACTTTGAAACTTGTCCCAGACTAGCCTTCTCGCTGCAGTCGGGGAGAGGGGGGTTGCACTGTCTGGGAGCGCCACCGTCTGGACACCGCAGCCCCCTCCTACCTGGGGAGAGGGTCCGACAAAGGTGGTGGTGGCTGGGGGCAGATTCCGCGAGGGACCGCGACGTTCAAGGACCTTTAACGGATAAACAGACGTGGCTGAAAACACGATTGCACGTGCTTTCTCTAGCGGAAAAGCCCAGAGTAGGAATGTCTGGAGATGAGTTCCCCCCACCCCACCCCCCCCACTCCACCCCTTGCCTTTGCTGCTGAGAAGAGAATCCGCACGAATGACAATCTCCTGCTTTGAGCCTTTTCACATTCATTATCTCACTGCTCCCGGCAGGCCGGCTGGAACCCGGGAGGCTCACTCTCCCGGCAGGACACAGCCAGATTTATCCATAAACGCAGCCGGTGAACGGGCTCGAGCCCTGAGAAAGAGGCGAGCGGCCAAAAGCCCGTCCACGCCGTGGAATAGTTCATCCACATCAAGCTGCTCACGCTGGTCCCCCGAGGGTCTGGATCTTTTTGCTTGTGGCAGGAAGACGTTTTTAATTTCAATAAACAAAACTTTGAAGGAAAAGGGAAACATGCATACTAGTGAATGAAGATAGTAGCGTCTCCCCTGCGCCGCGTCCCCCAGCAACAATCCTGTAGAGTTGGCAAACTGTTCTTTCAAGGCATTGTTACATTCTGTACTTCTGAGATGAGGTGGCCCCAGAGCTGGTGGAAACCCTGGGCTCTGGGAAGTCTCAGCGGCTGTGTCCCGGGCTTGCCTGGGACTGAGTGAGCTGGAGAGAGGTTGCGCCGATCCTTGTCCCCTAGCCCCTGCTCCTGTTTGGACACTGCTTGACCATGACCTCCTGGGACTTGGGTTTTCTGTATTGGACAAGTGGGAGAAGCAACTCTTTTCATAATGGGGGTGGGTTCTGCCTCTGGTTAAATCAAATTTGCTATTTCTATGAACTATATTAATAAGGAGTCTAAACATTTCCAAGCCGTAAGAAAAACAGATGGATCTTGAATCTGTTGTGTGGATACATATGAGGAAGAAAGCCAGTCACAGTTTGCAAGGATAAGACAAGACTCACCTGCAGTAACTTCAATTGCTTTGGAATAGTTAAGGGGGGAGCTCTTTATGGCGTAGAGTCCAGTGTGTATGGTTTATTTAAGCTTCCAAAAGATTTTCAAGTATCTCTCTAAACGATCTGCTAGGAAGCCCTAATAGCTGGGGGTGGAGAGAAACAATTTATCTGGGATTTGAAACGTGTAAGATATAGAATCAAAATAGATGACACCTAGGACATTTCCTGAGGGGGTGGGGACTTCCTAGGAAAACCCTGGAAACCCATACAGAGATTGGGAAGGAGAATAAAATAATGAATAGTGGACAGGAATTGTGTAAACAGCTTGCAATCCTGGAGCCCAGCGAGGTCCCAGCATGGTCTCTTCCCCTCCATTACTTATTATAAGATAAGGCAGAGCACCTGGTCTCCCAGCACTGAAAACTCACCACATCCCAGGCAGAAGTGATGCCAAGGGGCATTCTGTGTAAAGGGTAGCTATTAAAAGATTTTTCACTCTTCTTCTTGATACAGAAAACTTTCTTCCATCTCAGCCTCCACATTTCTCATGTTTTGAAAGATTGGGGGGCAAGGGGCACTAGCAGGCAGGGTTGAAGCCAGCAACTTGGCACTCTTTTCAAAGTTGAAAGAGAGCAAGCAGTTTCTGCTGGCAAATGGGCAAATTTTCTGTGCATAGGAGGATAATACCTTGCCTGTAATTAATGCATTGTCATTTTAAATAAGCATTTTATAGGTTTCAGAATCCCTCAAGGATTTATTTTCTCACAACAATGCCACTTAACAGATGGAGGAACAGGCTTAGAGAGGTGACAGGACTTGCCCAAGGTCATGCCAAGGCTAGTGGAGGAACCCAATATTCTTCTCAGCCCGGGGATTTTCTCCCACAGCTCAGCTTCATAAGATAGTATTTTGCTCTGGCACTTGATAGGGTGGATTCTGTTTTCTCTTTTCTGTTGTTATTGTTCTTTTTTTTTTTCATTTGATTGTTTTTATTGACATATATTCACATACCGTAGGCACCTTTGTAAAGTGCACAATTCAGTGGTTTTCTGTACATTCACTAAGGTCTGCAACTATCACCACTATGTAATTTCACAACATTTCCATCAACCCAAAAAGAAACTCTGTACTAAGACCTTAGCAGTCACTCCCCATTCCCTCCAAGCCCCCAGCCTCTAGAAACCACTAATCTGATTTGTGTCTTTATAGATTTGTCCATTCTGGACACTCTGATTTAATGGAATCATACAATATGTGGCCTTTTCTGTCTGGTTTCTTTCCCTTAGCATGTCTTCAAGGTTTACTCATGTTGTAGCATGTATTAGTACCCTCATTCCTTTTTTTAGTCATATAGTATTCCATTGTATGGATAAATGACATTTTGTATATCTATTCATCCATCAGTGGACCTTTGGGTTATTTCCACTTTGGGGTTATTATGAGTAATGCCACAGGGAACATTTTGGGTTCTTTTTTAGCCACAAGTGACCCCTGGCCCAAGATAGCCAGGTAGAGGGCCTCTTAGTGCCAACTCACATCTTCTCCAATCCTAGCAAGGGCTGGACAGCCACGTACATCCCCAAGCACTCCAGACTTCTTTGGACAATGCTCTTCTGGATGGAGACTGCATTTGGCTTGGTTCTTAAAAATAAAAACAAACTCGAACCCAGATAATCATAGTGTTTCATCAGAGTGTTGATAGGAGACTTGAATGAGATAATATATGCAAGCGTTTAGAACATTATTCAGAACAAACAGTTAACAACCACTAGCTATTATTAATGTTCTTTTTTTAATGTTTGTTTTTATTTATTTATTTTGAGAGAGAGAGAGAGAGAGAGAGAGAGAGCATGTACGTGGTGCTCACAAGTGGAGGAAAGGCAGATAGAGACAGAGGGGAAGAGAGAAGCCCAAGCAGGCTCTGCATGTCAGCACAGAGCCCAACGCAAGGCTCACTCTCACAAACCATGACATCATGACCTGAGCTGAAATTAAGAGTTGGACACTCAACTGACTGAGCCACCCAAGTGCCCCTATTATTATTTTTCTTATTCTGAAAGTGTCTAATAGTCTGTCTAAACTCTACTGTGTTACACTTTCATAGAGGACAGAGTCTCTCTGAGACATCAGAGGCTCTGCCCCCAGCTGCCACACAATGAGCACTCGTCAACATCCCAGGCCTCCATGACATGTAACAATGTGTCAGGTGGAAAGGAACGTAGTGACTTGCCTTTTCATTAGCACCCAACGTGCTTCACTGACACAGTCTGTATAGTTTCCACAAGAAAACACAATCAGATTTTTTGACATCAATCAGAAAGGAAGAATGTAGGATAGTTGGTGTACACACAACTCAGACTTAAAGCCTGCAGGCAGCTGGGTGAGCTCAGGCAGCAGAAGCTGGCTTTCGCAGCAGAGCATGGTGCCAGCCCAGGCTGAGGAAGGTCTAGTCCCAGG